AGGCCAAATGATAATTATCGAAACAGTTAATATTTGTATGAAAAATTTAATAATTATTAGACATCATATGTTCATTCGTATGAGATACTAAAATTATCATTTAACATTGAATATATATAAATAATAAATCTCATATTGAAACTGCCGTTTGCATTGGTACATGTTTTAGTTAGATATTCACATTTTATTCAAAGAGAAATATCTAAGCATTATCAAGTGTGATTTACAAAGAAAAGCATGATAAGGAATTTGACATTGTATTACTTTATAATTCAACTACTAGGATACATATCATTTAGTTTTAAATCTTTTATCTATTGAATTTTTCTTTTGCAAGAACTTTTAGTCTGATTGACTACTCGAACATGTATTAGTGATTTTGAAACATGTAGGAAGTATTAAATCATTTTTGTTTTGTTTGTTTCAATTATTGAATTTTATGTTAAAATCAACAAACGAGTAAGAAAAAAAACTTAGAAAAAATTCATGCAAACAGAAAAAACTTTCATTAATAAATTTATGGTCGACATAACTTTTTTTTTGTTTCAATTATATACTTTTCTAAGTTTTCAATTCTATCAGTTTCTTCTCGTGGAAAATCTTCCATAATTTTTAATGCTAATTCAAATTGTTCTAAAGCAAATTTAAATTGTTTTTGTTTGTCATAAATACGACCAATATTCGTATGATAATCAACTAAATCCAAATGACCAGGAGGTAAGCTTGCGTTACCAATTTCCAATGCTTTTTGAAAATATTCAAGTGCTTTTACATCGTTGTCTAACTTTTCTTGAACTTTACCTATTTCATTCATTGTTGATGCTATTGAAGCATGAACTGATGGTAATTGTTCCTGTTTTCTTTTTAAAACCAATTCAAGATTCTTCAAAGCATTTATATTATCACCATATTCTGTTTCAATTTTTGCTTTGAGACTTTCCACCGTAGCTATCAGTAGTGAATTTTTTGATTGTGAAGAATTGAATAACTTCTCTTCCGCTTCTCTTTGTTGTTCTTCTGCATTTCGACTATCTCCTAATTCCAAATGAACCAAACCAAGATTACAATGAATAGCTATAATTTGCGGACTATCGTGACAATTCATTTGAGAATAAATCTCAAGAGCTTTTTCATAATATGCAACAGATTCCTCTAACTTATGAGTAGCTTTATACATGAGACCAAGTAAATTGTAAGCATTTCCAATCGCTTTATCCTTCGATGGAAGTTGTGTAAGCATATATTTTGCATAACGTTCAGCTTCATCAAATTTATTCATTCGAAAAAGAAACCAACCGAATGATAGTGGATCTGGTTCTGAACCAATTTGTTTCATCATGTGTTCCGAAAGATTTTGACTAATTTCGTTTTCTTCTTTACTTAGTTGTAAATGAATATGCCACATGTTCGCACGTTGCTCAACTGATTGAACTTTAAAAATAGCACCTATCGAAAAAAGCACTTCTTCTTCATCTGGACAAGACGAATAGTTTTGTATAAACGCAAATGGTGTCATTTCTTTACTCATATTACAAATATCAATTTTGAAAAGAACAGTTTGTTTTGATGATGGTTTATTCAATTGATCATTTGTACCTGCAAAAATTTTAGCGATATCTTGATTCACTGTAGCACTTAAGAAACTATTCATTGAAATAAGGTCATTGACGCTACTTTTAAACATACCAAGTTCTTCCATACATAAACGTTGACCACGATAAACTGTTAAATGATGATGAGTAATAATAGCAGAATGAGCTTCTAAATATCGTTGATAAAGTTCTTCGATTTGATGTTGAAGATCATTGATAAAAAATCGAAATTTAAATATAATTTCAATATTTTGTGTACGTAAAGCTTTGTTTAATAATCGATATACAAAACTATCTTTTGTATACCACCAACATGCTCTCGTTGAATCATAATTTTTCTCAAAATCATCTATTTTCTTTTTTACAGATTCATTATCATGAGAAGCTGCTCGAGATTCAGCAATCATTTCATGTTTTGAATTACCATATTTTGCCATTAATCGGAGAACTTTCAATATTAATCTATACCACATAAATGTTCTACTTTCTTTAGTTAATTGTTGTAATGTATGTTGACGTTCTGCAAGATGAAATACATTCATTGGGAAATCTTCATCTTTATCATATACACCAATATCATTACCAATTTTATTTAATAGTGGATATTTTGTTGTAAATATACCGGAGATTTTTGAATATGGTGCAGCCCATGCTTGAGCTTTTTTTTGATCACCACAAAATATGTATATGCCTTGTATAGATAATATTTCAGATATAAGTGGTACAACATGTTGACCAAATGTATTAGACACAATCAAAAATATTTGTTTTGTTGGCGGTTCGTCGGTTATATCATCAATACATTTATCTAAATCATCATATGTTAATAAATGACCTCTAGCTAGTTGTCGTAATAGTGCTTTTGTATTTCGACCATCTTGAGTCTTTTCAATGCTATTATCTAACCAAACGATAACGAAATCGTTTGTTAAATTGTAAATGTTTTCATTTGCCATGCTTTTGCGTGCATGTGATGACAAAAATAAAGTTCTTTTTGGTGGCTTTACATTTCTCGTTGATTATTCGTTTGCTGTTTTTCTTGTTCTTCTTATTTGCTTTCGTTTTTCTTCTAAAGAATACCGTCTGAATAAATTATTTTTTTTTTTTGTAAGGACTGACTTCTATTTGAATAGAAATTTGTATGCGAGTATATGGACGATATTGTTGAATCAATAAAAGTAAATTCAAGATTTATATGAAACAGGCCTTCATTATACGCAATTGATTTTGTAAAAAAAAGAAAAAGTACTATTTGCTACATCTTTGAAATTAGGACAATCTTTGATGTTTTCGGAGTTTCAAACCGACATTTTTCGATCATGTGCCTTGTAATGTTTTTTTAATTACATATGAAGTAGATTTTATTGTTGATTTTCAATAGGCTATTTTCTTAAACTGAATGAGCAGAAAGAGAACGCCAATATCGAACTATTTGTATCATTAATAGTACTGAATAAGATGAAAAGAAAATAGTAGTCGTGAAGAGGAAAATTGAACATTTGTCAATCTGATCTGTCAATAATGTTAGAAAATATTTTTAATAAAATCAAAATAACATTCAACTTTAGTAAAATACTGATTAATACTCTTTTTAGTATTAGCTAATATTTTTGATCACATTGTAATAAAATCAAAGAGAAATTCTTTATCGTTCGACTTCAAAATGAAAAATTATAATCAACCGAGACCAATATGAAAACATATACATAATAGAAACACGAATTTAACATTAAGTGAATTAAACATATTGACACAAGAATAGATTTATGACTTGGGTGTAATGAAAACAACCAGTTACATCATTGATGCCAAATAATATTAAAAAACGTTTAAAAAGACCGATATTGATTTTGAAAAAATTTAAGAAGAACTAAATGATCATGACGACGATGATTAGTAACGTTTATAGTGAATTTATGTAAATATCTTAAAATTGTTTTTAGTTGCCAGTTTTAGATTCAGAAAATTATTCTAATGAAGGCAACAATTCAATAAAGGTTTAAGGGCACTTTTCGAGAATACTTTTAATAAAAACAAAAATACTAAGAAAATTCATCAATCATTTAGCGAACTTGAAGATGACTGAAAACTTACGAAAGGACATTTGTGTTAGCTACTCAAATTTTGAAAAAAATTCATGAGTCATCTTCAATAAAATATTTATATTTTTGGAACGTAAATCGTTCGAGATCATGACTTTGTATGGATTAATAGAGAAGGAATTTAGTTATCTGCCCATTATATTAAAGTTTTAAAACTTTCTTTTTTTTATAAAATTCAGTTATTTAAAATTCTAAATAACTTATAATAATAGGATTTTAAAGCGATTAGAAATTTCAAAGATTTGTTGTGTCAAAAAATAATTTTGAATTATTACATACAATTATAAATATATTTGAAAATTCATTATTTTAAGCAATATTGATCAAATTGTTTTTTGCTTTATTCCACTATCTTTGTTTTGATAGAAAACTCAAAAATAAATCATGCATTTCTTTCTTATGAGTCTTTCAGGTAATCAAGAGTAAGATGAATCAAATTACTTTTATTTTTACTGTTTGTATATTAAGACATTATTAGATTTCATGAAAAATTCATGAATCTACCAGGAATCTAATTCATCGCACTTGGATTTTTCTATGTGAGTAAATCTTTTGCTAAACTATGCAGAGGAAGTAAAACGTACAGAGTATATGAATACATATCTACTCAACGCTAGGTTTATTAGAGTTCTTTTTGTTGCTTTTACTGTCGGTATCCGTTTGTCATCCGTTAAATGAAGTAAAGATATCAATGTCATAATAGGTTCATAAGAAGAAAAATAAAACTTCATGAATTCAATATCTCATAAATTCCTCTTAAATTTCCATGAATAAACGATCAAATAAACAAGGCCAAATGATAATTATCGAAACAGTTAATATTTGTATGAAAAATTTAATAATTATTAGACATCATATGTTCATTCGTATGAGATACTAAAATTATCATTTAACATTGAATATATATAAATAATAAATCTCATATTGAAACTGCCGTTTGCATTGGTACATGTTTTAGTTAGATATTCACATTTTATTCAAAGAGAAATATCTAAGCATTATCAAGTGTGATTTACAAAGAAAAGCATGATAAGGAATTTGACATTGTATTACTTTATAATTCAACTACTAGGATACATATCATTTAGTTTTAAATCTTTTATCTATTGAATTTTTCTTTTGCAAGAACTTTTAGTCTGATTGACTACTCGAACATGTATTAGTGATTTTGAAACATGTAGGAAGTATTAAATCATTTTTGTTTTGTTTGTTTCAATTATTGAATTTTATGTTAAAATCAACAAACGAGTAAGAAAAAAAACTTAGAAAAAATTCATGCAAACAGAAAAAACTTTCATTAATAAATTTATGGTCGACATAACTTTTTTTTTGTTTCAATTATATACTTTTCTAAGTTTTCAATTCTATCAGTTTCTTCTCGTGGAAAATCTTCCATAATTTTTAATGCTAATTCAAATTGTTCTAAAGCAA